GCCACTGCACTCCAGTCTGGGCGGCAGAGTGAGACTCCAACTCAAAAAAAAAAAAATACAAATACAAATTGGAGCCAAACGAGGTGGCTCACACTGTAATCCCAGCACTTTGGGAGGCCAAGGCAGGAGGACTGCTTGAGCCCAGGAGTCCAAGACCAGCCTGGGCAACAAAACAAGACCTCATCTCTACAAGTTTTTTTTTTTTTTTAATTAGCCAGGCATGATGGCACACAATCCTCTTGCCTCCCCTGGGGTCTATTTTTTGATTGGTCTGTCTGCTCAGCCAGAAAGTTAGCATGCAGTGGCCAGGGACCACACCTATCTTCTTACTCCCCATCATACACAGAGCCTGGTCCATAACAGTTGTAATAAATATTTGGTGACTGAGTGATTTCCTCTTAGAAATCAGAAAAAATTCCGGCTACTTCTGGGAAAGACAGGACATGGCAGAGGGAAAAGGTAAATAGAAGGCTACCTGGTCACTTCAAGGACATATAGGCCAGCTGATATAATTGAAAGTTGAACAAGAAAGGTGTTGGGTGCAGGAAGGCACACTGTCTTTGTAGAGGCAGGGGGTCTTTGGTCGCAAGAGATTCAAGGAGGGGCTGAGGAAGAGAATGAGACTTGGCTGAGGTGGGAGAATGGAAACATTCTCACTGAACTTTTGGAATATCCTTTTCCTAAAACATGAAACCTGCCCTGTTTATCCATTCTTCATTCAACCTTTCTGTGAAAGGCCACCAGTTAAGTTAGATAGAAAAAATAAGCCCCAATATTCCATAGCAGAGTGACCATAGTTAGCAACAGTTAGCTGTTTCAACGCAGCTAAAAGAGAGGACTTGAAATGTTCCCAACACATAGAAATGATGAATACTCAAAGTGAGGGACACCCCAAGTATACTGGCCTGATCATTATATATTCTGTGCATATAAGAAATACTCACAGGTACCCCATAAATACGTAAAATATTTTATGTCAATTTTTTAAAATATATGTATATATTTTTTAGTCGAGGTCTCCCTGTGATGACCCAGCTAGAATGCAGTGGTACGATCACAGCTCACCACAGCCTTGACCTTCTGGCTCAGGTGATCCTCTTTCTGCCTCAGCCTTCAAGTAGCTGGGACTATAGGTGCATGCCACCATGCCTGGCTAATTTATTTTTGTGTGTGTGAAGACAAGATCTCACTACGTTGCCCAGGCTGGTCTCAAATTCCTGGGCTCAAATAATCCTCTCACCTTGGCCTCTCAAAATGCTGGGATTG